TTTTGCCCGTTAAGGTAATGCAAAACAGGGGTGGGGTTTCTTCCCCAATTCCGGGGGTTTTTGGTTCCCCCTTTTGGGGCCCTGGGCCGGGGGCCAAAAGCATTCCTCGGGGGGGTAACCCCCCCCCCCCCCCCCCGCCGGCCCTCCCGTCCTCAGGAACCCGGAGCTCCGGCGGTGGCTTCAACCCCGATGGCGCCTACGGCCGTGTGCGACCGTTCCGCCTTCACCCCGGCGACGACGGCGGCTAGGCCCAAGTCTTCGAAGCCTTCCTCGCGGTTCGTGTCGCCGTCCCGGATAGCCAGGTTCTTCGGCGGGCGCGAGCTCTGGCGGTGGTCGAGGGGGGGCTCCGTCGCGGGGGTTGAGAGCTTCTCCGACGGCGCCGGCGATCCCGATGCCGACGCCGCAGCAACCAAAGGCGATGCTGGCATCAGTGCTCCGTGCGCCGAGGGCCTCGGTGTAGCTTCTTTGATTGCCAGGGGCGATGATTCTTCCTGGTCTCCAGCTAGGTGGTACACCCCGTCCTCCTCCGCCGCCTCCTCCTCCTCCGCCGCCCTCGGGCGTTCTCCCGCTGCCGCGTTTTCTCCTGCCACCGCTGCCGCCGCTGCTGCGAGGGGCGGCGGCGCTATGCGGCACCATCACTTGCCGCGACCGCTGTCGAAGAAAGACCCAGAGTCCACGCCGCCCTCCTCTCGAGCAGCAGATATCGCGCAGACGCCTCCGATGCCCCCGCTACCGCGGCGACCGGTACCACGGCAATGGGCCAACTCGCATATCCCTCTCGAGAAGCCGGTCGGCGGAGGAACCGAAGAGTCTCCGGCCGCAAAGGTGGCCGCCGCCGACGGCGACGACAAAGACGGGGGCGCAGCAACACCGGTGCCCCCCGCTACCCAGGCCGGTGCAGCAGAAGCGGCGGCGGCGACGGACGCGGTGGGTGCGCGTCACGACGCGGAGCGCGATCGCCGGGCGGCTTCTTCTCCCCCCGAAGACCGATCTGCCGCGCGGGAGGAGGAGGGGACCGGGGGTGGGGAAAGGGTGACCCCTCCTTCCTCCCCTCGTCCCCTGCAAGAGGTCGTGAAATCGCGGCTGAACTCGTCGTTCGACACGACTGCGTCGTCTCTCGGATCGGAGTCCTCAGACTACTACATGCGGCTCCGTTCGTTCGCGACCCTCCTGGTCGGTTGCGGCGGTGGCTCGGACAAGAGCGTGAGCGGGTCCCCGTCGCTGTCGTCTATCCCTTTGCCGGTTCCGGTGTCGGCGGGGGGAGAGTGCCCCAGCGGGCCTCCGCCTCAAGACAAGCCCAAGCCATTCTCGGTCGATGTCCCATTGCCCGTCGATAACGCATCGCCGTCAGATGCGAGAAAGGAGGAGGAAGCCGGGGAACAGGCCGCTCAGGCCCGATCGCCATCTCGTGGAAGCGCCCGAGAGGGCGGGCGAACGAACACAACTGGCCACGGCCACAGCAAGACCTGCGGCGGCGGCGGTGGCGGCGGAGGAGAACAGGAGAGCAGCCGAGCACTCGCGACTGCACCCAGCGACCGGGCGACCTCCTCGACGCAGGTGTCATCGTTGCGGGGCACCACCCCGCTAACGAGCCCAGTAAGGGTGCCGCCAACGCTGTGGTCGTCTCCCGCGGCGTCTCCGAGGAGGGAGGAAAAAGCAGTAGCCACCGCCACCACCGCTGCCGCCACCGGTGGTGGTGGTGGAGTCGGCGTGGCGGGGGTGCGGGCGCCGAGCGAAGCGTTCGGTGACCGTGGTCGCGATGATGTTCCCGGTGCTGATGGCGACGTGTGGGGTGGTGGCGGAGTCTCTGATGACACGGTGGAGTCACGCCTGCAGGGGCCGCAGGGGCAGGAGGAGCCGAGGTCTGCCGATGTCGCCGCCGCCGTCGGTGCGTCGCTGGCGGTCGATCCCGTGTTGTCGCCGGCGGCGCTTGCCGGCGACGCTCATGCCCCCGCGCCAGAAGTTGTCATGTCCAGCAGGAAGCGCGCGGTCGGGAGCGTGGTAAAAGCGGCGCGGGAATCGCTCGGCTGGTCGGAGTTCTTGGCCTCGTCGTCTGCTCGTTCGAGTTCGACGGCCCCAGCAACAAGCCAAGGGCAAGGTGCGGCTATGGCGACGCCGTCGGCGACGATACCGGATGCTGCGGCACCGATGTCAACGGTTGCTGGGGCGAACGGATCTGGCAGGAGCAGCAGCGCAAAGGCGACAAGGGGTGGAAATTTCGTCGCGGGAGCCGGGCCGGGACTCAGAGCGATGGGTGGCCGCGCGTTGCGGGGAGCGACAGCGGCAGCCACGCGCTCCTTTTCGCCGTCCTCTCACTCCCGGCAGGACGAATGGCACGAGAGGGGTTGCAGCAGCGCTTTGAGGAGAAGGAAAGCCGGCCGTTTTTTCGGGCCCGAGTTGGCGCAGGCGTTCTCCGAGGGAGACGTGCCGCAACGGTGGTCCCCCTGTCTTCGCGGTACCACAGGAGAAGAAGCCCAAGAGGACTCCGCGGGGGGCACCGTGGTGGCGAAGAAGCCGAGGGGTGGGGGTGGGTCTCCTTTTGTCGTGTGCGAGAGAGGTCGCCTCGATGTTGGCTTCGACGGCGGCGGCGGCGGCGGCGGCGGCGGCAAGAATTGCCACGGCACGAGCCCGGGTCCAGAGAGCCAACGCGCTAGTTCTGTCGCCGTTCCTCCTCTTCCCTCGCCCACGGCGGGGGCGGCGGCGGGATCGTATCCATCCCCTTTCGAGAACGCCGGGTGGAGTTCCGGGAGAAGACGGGGCGAGGAGGCGGCTCAAGAGGGGGCGAGCGTGGGCGAAGAGAGGGCGGCGCTGATGACCGCGCCGTCGTTCTCGTCGGCGGCCTCCGAGGAATCACGGCTTAGCTCGCAGCCACCGGAAGCAAGCGGCGAGCGGTGTCCGGCGGCGGCGTTGTGGCCTTCGGGTTCGTCGTCATCGGCGTCTGGGACGTCCCGGCAGCTACTCGCCGGTACCACGGTGGGGGATTCCGGTCTTGTCGTCGTCGGGGAGACAGTTGCGTCGTCTTCTCCGGCGGTGGCCATGGCGATGGTCGCCGTGGAGGGTTCCCCCTTGATGCGGGAGGAGCAGCAATGGCAACGGCAGCCGGGGCCCTTGTCCCCCCGCCTACTGGGTGAGCCGCAGCAGCCGCAGCAGCCGCAGCAGCAGCAGCAACGGAAGGAGAGGCAGCGGCGGCAGCAGTCCTTCCTGGCTTCGCTCGATCACCGTGACGGCCAGGGTAGCACCCCTTCTCCCGTGGAGCACAGCAGTTGGCACCATCAGGGTGAGCATCAAGGCCGGCTGCCCTCAAGACCGCGCGGCGGAGAAGAGCCCGCCACTACCCCCACGGAAAGCGGCGGCGGGACCCCCGGACGGGAGGTAGACCCCTCCGGCGGGGTAGCGATGCCCTTGTCGTCGTCTCCCGGCCCACCGGGTAGGGTAGAGCTAGGGTCGTCGTGCGGCAACTCGTCTTTGAACAACTCGGCGAACGGGTCGTCGATTCTGTCGGGGTCCTCTGAGTACTACACCCGGCTCCGCTCTTTCGCGGCCTTGGTGGGCGGCGGCGGTGGTGGGGATCCGGATTCACAACTTGACGGGTCGACTCGATCGTCGATAACGGCGGGGTCTGCGGTGCCGCAGTCGTCACCGCTGCGGCCGTTCGGGTGCCCTGAGACCCGCTCCCGCGCCGCCTCTCCTCCGACTTCCGGTTCGTCGTCGGACACCGCGCACCGCCGTGGAAGCACTAGCCCGCTCGCGCTGCTTCCGCTCGGCCCGAACGAGTCCGTGTCGATGCCGTCGTCCCTGTCTTCGACACCGCCACCACCCTGTCGCCCCTTTGACGCGGAGGCGGGCAGCGAGACCGGGTCGTCGTCGTTGTCGCAGGCGGCGGCGCCTAACGAGACGCAGCTGACGGCGGAATCTCTGGGGATGGTCGGGGCCACGGCGACGCCGACGCGGCGGACCGCACTAGAGAGCAACATCCTGTCGTTCCTCGGGGTACACAGCGGCGGCGGCGGCGGCAGCGGTGCGGGCTGGGGAAGCCGCCGCAGCCGAAGCAGCGGCGACGGCGGCGGCGGACTGTTCAGGGGGGAGTCGTTTTTCGAGGACGACGAGGTTCTTTCTCGGCGTCTGGGAGATGAAGAGCGGCAACGGGACGGTAGCGGAACCGGTGCTGCTGCTGCTGTTGCTGCTGCTGCTGCTGCTGCTGCTGCTGCTGCTGCTCGGGGCCGGGCGGGGTTTGATGCCGACGAGGAGCCGCCCTTGTCTCCCGTGCTCACGCCGACTGTTCGCGAAGTCCGTTCAGTCGATAGGGGGAGGATAGTCAGGGGCGGGGACGGTCGTCGCCGGAAGCGGCGGCGTTAGGTGTGTGTATATAGCACGTGTGAGCACGAGTAACACGGGCAAGACTCCGGCCGGGGGTATCTGAATCGGTGATATTCAGCGGGCGGCGGGTGGGTGGCGATGGGAACTTTGTAGAGAGGGTGTCGTTTTTTCTCCTCTCGCTATGCACACCATTGAGGAGAACAGCCGTTGGCCACGCGTTCGGGTTGAAGAATGCCGCCGTCGACTTGAGTGTTCCTGCACGTGGCGCAGAGACCGTCTGGTACCGTACAACTTATGTATTTAGTAGTTGCGCCTATGTAAGTAGAGGGATATTGCACCTGTGTAATAATACGTGCGACACCCGGTTTTTTGTTTGGTGTGCGCTACATGCTTGTTTGCAGAATAATTATTAGCGTTAGAGACACCTGCCGAGGTGGGTTGTTTTGTTTTTGTTCTGATGTTCCGATCTCCGAAGAGCTTGGACACAGCAGTGTTGCTTTCCGTATCCCTGGCCGATGGGACCTCCTGTTCAATCGAGCTCAAAGCCTCGCTGGTTCATTGCCCCCCCTGTCTCTAAAACGAATTGCGTGGTCCCAATGCGCCTCGATGTTAGTCATAGCCGTTGTGACAAGTACCATGGGGTGCTTGCGCTGCTGTGCATCGTGCATGTTTTGGACCTTCGGGCGCACACACATGTCACAAATGCATAGTTTGGGCTTCCATCTCTTCACCCGAACCACGGGCAACTGCGCAACCGCATTTTTTTCCTGTCATATCCCTTTTTCCCGAAACCTACCTGTGGAGATATGCATATAGGGTGGTTGATGGTGTTTGTGGTAAGGTTCGAAGAAGTCGATGTTGCGCGGAGATCCCTTTCGCAGAATAGATGCATTCACCGCTGTGGACTAAGCTCTTGGTTTTTTTCAAACGTCTTGCCGATTAAAACAGAACGTCCAGACAAGAGGCCAGGCCACGCAAGAAAGCAGCCGGTTAAGTCTGCGTGGGGTGTATGTACTACAGCTACAAGTAGGATAATACCAAGCTGTCGTATTGTAAGACTACTCAACAGTATAGCAATCAACCCGGACTGACTTTCAAAAATAAAAAATCGATCACTACAGCAGTAATTGTTGTATCGCAGGTGTTATGTGAATCTTCGTCACGGTATAGTCAGACTACATCCGCCCGGCGTTGTAGCCGGATGTGTCGATCGATGCCACCGTACATGATGTAGCACCCCGTCCGTCTGGACTACATCCGCCCGGCGTTGTAGTCGGATGTGTCGATCGATGCTACCGTACATGATGTAGCACTCCGTGTTTTTATGCTCTTTGCTCTCTCTGCCGCCCTCTACCCGCCTCCTTTGACCGGAACTACGTATGTAGATATGCATAGATAGATGCGACGGCCCGCACAGCGTTTGACAGCTACAATCTATGCATACGAATACGTAGCTGGGAACAACTCCCCCGCGCATGTAAACTGCTGTGCGCGCATGGTCCGCGCATGCAGCACATACATTCACGTTGGGTGTTTCTCAATATGCACGTACGTGTACTGCTTGTAAACGATAAAGTCAACGTACTACTCTGCATACATACCGATACGACAGATACTACATGTGTGTACAAAGCGTAACCTGTGACAAACCTACGCTTCTCTCCATCTTTAGGACATCAGCAGGTAGCTGCGGTCGTCTCGATTGTTTTGTGGTTACCTCGTATGCATAGCATTTTGAATTGGGTGGCCTACTTCATCGCGCTTCTTTTTTTTTCTCATTTTTTTTTTTTCGCCGAGCGAAAAAATGAGAGTCTATCCTCCCTTCCACCTACTACATTCACCTCAACTGGCGAGGATCGCGTGTGCACTTCTACCTCGTGCGTGTTTATTGGCGGTCGGCAGGGCAGCTCCCGGTATCCCCCAAAAGCCGGTCTGTTGCTAGAACACAAGCAGTAGAGCTGGCGCATCTCACGAGGCTGGCATCGCTGCCGCGGGGCTCGGGTTCGAAGGCGACCTACAGCAGCAGGCGAGTTCTGTCTATGGTATGTAGGCATCGAGTATTCTGAGTGCCTGTAGATGAGAGAGAAACGCATGGGCGAGTAGGGTCGGGGGTTTGTGCTTCTCGGGGCACTTTTGCGTGCCCTCTTGCGCCGGCCCCTGCTGTATTGCAGGCTTGCCTGCGGGCACTCGGCCATCATCATCGGTGAGACAGAGCGAATTGTTGGGGGCGTTGGATGTGTTGCTACCCGATGACCTGCTGTTCTTTGTTGCCTAAAAAGATACCCCTTTGGTTTCCCTCTCATTCATTCGGATTAACCCAACCCCAACACAACAACAACAACAACAACAATCCGGATTGCAACAACCAACCAATGCCCCGTTTATCTCCACCGCCTTTGGGGACGAGTTTACCTCTTCGTATGCATGGTGTAACCCTCTGCCTAGGCCGGCAAAGGCGATCGCGCTGTCTACCTCGTAGCAGGAGGGATGCTCGCAACACATGACACACACACACTCAGACCACTGCTGCTGTTGTCATTTTGCACTTTCCCGGGTTGACTTGCTGGGGGGTGCTGTTATTTTTCGCTGCTGGAATCATCCCCGCGCAATAGAACGATTTTTTTTTAGGGCACGGGAAAGAGCGCCGCTGCTGCGCTGTCGCGTTCGGTTGCACAGCTACCAAGCGCTGAGTCCGCGATGCCTATGCGCTCTCTGTCACAGCAGCGTCACACACGAAGCGATGCGCTTTTCCTTGGAATCTTGGAATCACAATCTCCGTGAGAGAGAAGACATGGCAAATTTCCAGTTCCCACAGCACCCAACGGGTGTATTATATGCGTGTTGGTACAATATAGTGAATCTTTTTTTTTTTCCCGTCGGCTCTCTTCTTTTTCTGTTATTTGCTGACAAGCTCTTTGCCTGTGGGTTCGTGTTCTCGACGAGAGAGAGATTTGGAAAATTCATTCACGCTTGCCACTGATTTTTTTCGGTTCTCGGGCAGAATTTGTTTCTAATCCGTTGTCTCCCCAGCCTTCGACCGCACATGGCGTTGGCCAAGAGCACCAGCTGCCATAGCCCTCAGCGGCCTCTCCCTCCCTCCCCTGCTGATGCGCTGGTCATACGATCACCACCACCCTGCGCGAGAGGGGTGGTTTTTGTGTCTACCCAGATTTGACCCTTTTTTTTTTGTTCCTGTCTTTTCCTGGGCGCAGGGGTTGGGCATGCAGGTGGTCCGCCTCTTTTCGGTGGCCGCCCGCTGCTGGGCTTTTCAACTTTGAAAGTTCCCCTGCCTGCGACACCCCAACTCGTTGGGAAAAAAAGGTTTCTCAGTGGGGTAGGGTACTTTGCTCTGTTTCAAAAAAAGCTTCCGCGCTCTGCTGCTGCTGGGCACGAAAGTCTTTCAAAGAGTCGTCGTGACGATGCAGAGAGGGCGACAGAAACAATCTTCAAAGCCCTATAGTGCACGCGTTCTGCAAGTAGATGATTCCATGTAGCTGATGCCTCCCCTCCGCCGATCTCCGGCTGCTGAAAATTGGAATATTCCTCGAAAAAATGGAAGCAAAACTGCCGGGTACCTAGAGCAGTGCAGGCAGAGCAATCCACCCACCTACTTGTACCACTGCTGCTGTGAAATATCGCAGCTTCGGCCGTGACTCATCCCACAGTGCAAACTCCAAGTTCAAACAACCACGAGCATATTAATTGTCAGATCAGAGAAATATATTGCTCGTAACTCAAGCAGCTGCTCCCCGCGGGCAACGTCGTACGTACGTTAGATGACAGCCGCGAAAACTAGCTTCATCTGCTAACAAAGCAGCAGTAGCTACCAGATGTCCGTAGAGAACGCACTTCTTCGTTTCCAACAAGTATTTTTTTTTTTTGCAAACACACGACACGCCCGATATTCCAACTGATCGATCTCGCAACGCGTTCTAGTATTGATGGATCGGCCAATTGCACGCGCACACGCATGTGTTGTTGGCTCTCTCGAATGACTCGTGCTATGTATGTACATCGAATATGTAGCATATTCCGACGACGTTGCGAAGCACGCCCAGCAACTGCTGCTGCTGTGTGGCCTATCCTACTATGGATAGATAGCTGTGTACATGACCGAGAGCCGAAATTCCCATACAAGTAGTCTTAACTTCTAGGGAAAAAATGAGTGCTCGTGCTTTGTGCGGCGCTGTTGCTGTCTACTACTCCATACCCCGCTTGTACTGCAATGCACCTGCTGTGTGTAGCACGAACGGCGGCGGTCACGAAGTGACTAATGTTGACTTTACAACGTGTACTCAACGCATGTACTATGTACAACTCTCTTGGGCCAAGATACTGACTGCAGCCTTTCATTATTATTGCAGCAGTTCTTTCTCTTTCTTATTTTGTACCTAAGGAATAGTAAAAACACACACAGAAAGACTACCAATTCTTCGTTGTCGTGAAAAAAGTGAAAAAATGCTGAGAGAAGAACCAAAATCAGACTCAGCACTGCTGCAGGAGCAACACCCCGAACGCCTACAACCAGATTTACACTATTGAACTATTATTCAAGCAAGATTCGAAAATTCGGGACGCGGTCCCAGGCGCGATGAGTGAACGTACGCATAGACTCAACGACTCAACACTTTACAACGTACCAGGCTTGTTGGTGGAACGTTTTTCAAAAACGGAACGCTACCGAGGGAAGCACCGTTGGGTTCACTTTCCTCCTGCTTTCTTCTAATACTTCGAAGTATATTCTTTTCCGTCTTGGTAAATAGTTTCTTGCTACCATTTTTGTTGTAGCGCCTCTGCTACTACCCCGTCGTGCGTGTCGATGCTCCCCGCCCCACTTACCACTCACTACTCCTCCTTTTCTACTACCCTTAAAAACATAAGCACTGCAGGTAAGTGAATACAGTTGAGATCGGATCTGTGCTATATTGATATTGATATTGAGAGCGATGTTGCTGGAGGGGGACGGACTGACCCAAGGCGGAATAACATGAGGAGCACATTTATTGGAAAACGCGGCGCACTGCTGCGAGATGACCACCACGCTCAAGAAAAAAAGTTATGATCACCATGCTCAAGAAAAAAAAGTTAGAAAAATTAATTCACACCCCATCTTGGCCGCTGCTGGATGCGCCCTGATTGCTGCTGTCGGGACAAGGTTCACGTGCGTCTCGCGAACACCGAGATATGCAGTTGTGCATGAACCGCGAGCTGTGTGTGCCGCCACCCCCCCCCCCCCCCCCCCCTACCTCACCCCCCACGTATGGTCACAACCGGAGTAGAGTGTTAACACGCGCGAGGCTCCCGCTGTGCTGTCCCGCAAGAACAATTATTTTGTGCCCAAACGAT